ATCCAAACATTAGATTATCTGAGAATTATCCACCAAGGCATCAGATTATCTGAGAATCATCCACCAAGGCATCAGATTATCTGAAAACCATTCACCTACACATCAGATTATCTGAGAACCATCCACCCACACAACAGATTATCTGAGAACCATCCACTCACACAACAGATTATTCGAGAACCATCCACCCACACAACAGATTATCTGAGAACCATCCACCCACACAACAGATTATCTGAGAACCATCCACCCACACAACAGATTATTCAAGAACAATCCACCCACACAACAGATTATCTGAGAACCATTCACCCACACAACAGATTATCTGAGAACCATCCACCTACACAACAGATTATCTGAGAATTTATCTTGTATGTATATTGAGATTCATGTCAGGTCACTCAGGTGCAGTAACCAAAGTTATATACAAGTTGTTCTTATGCTTGGCAGAGAAAAACAAGAGTTGTTGCTGGGCAGAGTAAAGCTAAACGAGAGTATATTCCTGCATATAGATCTGGGCCATATGCATTGGTATTGGCATTGTATAGAGATCTAAAGGTAAGATATGCTTTCATAAAACCAGCATGAAAATTTACTGTTCTTATGCTCTCTCTTTTACACTGTCAACTCTTAATTTTCTTTTCATTCTCTTTTATAGAAAGAAAACAGCTTAGGATATATGACTAAAGGAGAACTTGTGAGGGAAGCACAGACTCTATGTGAGAAGTCATTTAGTGTGGTAAGACATAACTGTGATAATCAATGTATAGTGGGACACCACACAAATGGATTGTACAATGTGTTGATCAGAATAAAACATGTAGGCAATTAAGGTTTAGTTGAGATATTTTTTGATTCAGTTAATTTTGGGTTAGTTTTCAAGTTTAAACTGACAATATTGTGGTTTCACTGTTTTTTTTGACCGTTTATAGGCTAAATAACAGGTGTAGTCACCTACTAATTGTCCCTATGAGCACCAAAGTGAATGTTTGTCACCTTTCACAGAGCAAATCCCACTTAATGTTTTTCATATTATTTCTAAAATTTTGACTGAGACCTGTAACCAAGAGGAAATTATTACCATTTTGCCCAGAAATTATAGAAAAAAATACATATGAAAACCATTACACCATACCATGTATTTTTTTGATGGTAAACAATTATGGTGCCCAGAATGTTAATAAATACAATTTGACAGTGTCCATTTTGCAGTTGCATTTACAGCAGTTAGAACTTGAGCAGGAGAAAGGGCACACTTACTCAAGCATTTTGTTGTCTTGGATGGGCTTCATTGTGTACTGCTGTTGTTTTCTATATATTGTAGAATTAAACACATTTTAATTCATAAATTCATGCATAAATTATGTTCACATATTGTTTCATACTATCTTTGCTTGAGATAAATAAATGTATGTGTTAGACGCCAGACTTTTATGACTTGTTCTGATTTAAGGCTCAACTTTATTTAATAGTATTCATTATCTCAAACAAAGAATAAAATTATTATGGATTTCATATCTCTGTTATCAAAACAATCAAGGTCATGGTTTAAATATTCCCTGAATTACATGATTTTATAAAAACTTGGGATGGATGGATAAGGGGTGATGAGGTTTTTTTCAATATAATTAATGTGATGTTAAGTCATATGTATTTGTAAATATTGTATCTTCTTTGCTTGACAGCCAGACCCTGGTGCACGTTACACAGCTTGGTCTTCAATGGGCACACTAATTAAAAAAGGACTCATTGTAAAAGAAAGCAACCCGGCTAAGTATGATTGCTATTTATTCTATAGTCCTGCAGCTTATGACATGATTAACCCACAATCTGTTCATTCTTCATTACAGTAACTTTGGTATTTTTTGCTTATTCTTCAAAAGCTTAAAGAATAGAATAGAATAGAATAGAATAGAATAGAATAGAATAGAATAGAATAGAATAGAATAGAATAGAATAGAATAGAATAGAATACTTTATTACCGGTAATACCATAAAGATAATGTAACATTTCTTTTTTGGTTAACAAGTTAATAAAGTTTTTACATAGTTGAGTGATCATAAAACTATTCGTGAGTAGTAAAGGTAAGACAATTTACAAAATGTAAAAATATGGCATATGTAGTTTATTTATACCAGTAATGTATTCCTTATGTTGTAACACTGTTCAATGTACTTGATAGTTTCTTTAATTAGTGAAGTGTTCTTATATTTACCGTGTTCATTTCTTTCAATTTAGGGGCGCATAATTCTGTTCAAAACTTATATGTCCTAATTATGTATTTAAAAACATATTGATATTGTGTTTACATACAAGTTATAAATCATAATTCCATAAGATATGGCACAAAACCACAGTATTTATGAATAAAGAAGGGGTTCTTTCCAATGTCAAGCTTGATAATGGTTTATAGCTATTAGCTGTATATACATTATACCAAAAACAAATTATATCTTGTTTTTGGTTGGCACGTGTGTGTGTGTGTGGGGGGGGGGGCAAATATTTCAAAAAACGAAAGAAAATAACATCACTTTTTTCTGTAAGTTACTTTTAAATCGAAAACAAGATTTTTGATTTTTTTTTTGCCCTTAAGCAAAAAACATATTCAAATTTTGTTTAAATGCTGATTATTCTGCAACAATTAGTTGAATTATGATAAGATACTGTCACTCTATGTTAAGACTTCATAAACTTATATTTTCAATACAATAGATACAGTCTTAGTGATTCTGGTTGCGAGTTAGCAAACAAGCTAGAATCAAGCTTACCCACTGATACAGCTAGTGGTACTAGGCCTACATCATTTACTGTCACATCACAGCCTAGCACCAGTACAGGTATAACACTCAGGTGAGCGGTGTGTACATGTATGCGTGATATTAAAGATAATTTCAACCAATATCACATAACAAAGTGGATGCTTGGAAAACTCTTTTCCTAAACAGAAATGATTGAAATTATTCAAAATACAAAACTCAGTACATGTATTACTGTTATATTCATAGTAATAGTAATAGTTCTTTTTATTTTTCATTCAGGTTGAGTTCTGATGAAGAAGACCCTGACCAAAATGATAATATTGATTCCTTAACTGTATCCACTGCTAGTAATAGTTTAAAGTCACTAAGAACAGGTGAGTTAAATTGCTTTCTATGAAGCAAAGTTTAAGCGTCTTGCACTTGCATATGTACACATCATTTATATCATTCAACTATTATTTTTTTTTAAGGAAATTATTTTGTTAATCACATGTGAGGCAGTAATAACAATGCACATTACCAATGCGGACTACTTATAACCTTTTTGAATGCCAAAGTCATCTTTAATCACCTTTCACAATTGCTTTTTACAAAACCTATCATTGTTTTCAACAATTTTGATCAAGATGATAAAAAAATATATTCACTACGTTCAATTACCCACCATAGACTCCGGTCAGTCAAAATGACTATTTTGAACTGTAGGCATTAATCAGCGATTCTGCCGGTGATGGAGAGATAGAATCCAGATCAGGGGAAGCCCCATGACCTCAAGATTCTTTTACCCCTTACGTCACGAACCCACGTGACCGAGGCCACCTGGCAGCGCCACAGGTAGCCGCCCATCACTCTTAACTTCTCTCAGCCTCGAGTGGAGATGAAATCTAGCAAGCTCTGCTGGATCGTCTGCTTTTTTTTTCCTGTCCGGATTTATAGCTTGGGTTGTTGCCGCTGCTCGGCATCCGACATTGTAGCTGGTAGGATAAGTTTTCCTTGTCATTTTTACCCTCGTGTCGTTTTCCCCTTTGTGTGTACTATTTTTCAAAATAGTCATTTTGACTGACCGGAGTCTATGGTGGGTATGAACTATGTGAATAGGCGGGTTCAGAGAACCCTCGCCTAAGTCTATTTGATTCAAAATCAACAAAGATATTATGGTAAAATATATAAATGTGTGCTAACATTTGTGCACTAATATCATGATTGAAAAAATTACAGTACAAAAAGTCAACGCTGACATACATCAATAAAATGTTGAACAGCAGAACCTATGCTTTTAATTTTTAGCCATAACCATTACATCATTGTAATTTAATATTATTAATAAACAAAAATTCTTTTGACATATTTTTATTAGATTCAACAATGCCAATATCTAGTCATACCAATCCAAGCCAATCAAATTCAGCGTACACTTACTCACAGAGTAGTGTTGATTCTATATCTAACATAGATGACAGTTCACAGGGTAGTATCTCCACATCATCTTCCGTTGATGCCAGACCACAGTTTGTTCTTCAACAAGGAACATATGATGTTATTCTATGTGTGGATAACTGTGAAACTGCAGGGTAGGTTGATGTACTACATAACATGTGTAACTTCATAAACGTGTTGTTTACATTGCAAGAATAAACTTAGGTGCTGCCTTGTTTTACTAACGACACAATGGGAGTGTTTGGGGGTTACCTTTTCTGTGTGTATGTAATGTTTTTGTAACTTTAAACATGTAATTTTGACCCCAAATTATATTTGTTGTACCAATAAATGTTAGAATATATAGGCTATGCACCTGTAAACACCTAGCACCTAGCTGGATAAGCACTTGTAAACCATGCTAAGACAACTGAATATGCACTGTTTTGTTTATAACCACACACACATATAAACAGCACCTAGACAGCTGGATTTACACTTGTAAGCAGCACCTAGACAGTTGGATATACACATGTAAACAACATATATATCAAATCATTGCAATATTTATTTGTTTTTAGGGGTTCTTCTGGGAGCAGGAAGGCTAATCTGCTTCCTGAATTGAAAAAGAATGGCATAGATTGTGATGTGAGGAAACTGCAAGTAGGAGACTTCTTGTGGATTGCTAAAGAACGAATCAGACACATGCCAGGTATTTCACAAGACAGATGATCATTTATGAATTTATTTGAATATCATCAATTCAAAATGATTTTTAGATTTGTGTACATGAATGAAACATGGAATCATATTGCTCGTTTGAAATGTTTTTTATGTATTTTAAATCATCTGTATGTTGCAGGTTGCCTGGAGATACCCATTGCTAAGGAGATTGTCCTTGACTACATTGTAGAGAGAAAGAGAATGGATGACTTGGCTAGCAGTATAACAGATGGACGATTTAAAGAACAAAAGGTATGAGCGTTTTCATCCCTGTTTAGACATACTAACAGAAATAGAGAATACAAAAAAATTCCTTGCAGTGGTAGAAAGTGCACTGCTTGCGACCAAAATGAGATTAAAGACGAGATGTATTTTTTACTTGAATGCAAGCTGTATGAAAATGAGAGAACTGAAATTTAATACATTGCAACGACACAAATACCAATAAACAAGCAAAAACAGCCAAAAAACAACAAAAGTAGCAAGCTACATCTATAATTGTTTCAGTGCCAGAGAAAATCATTTCAAAAAACTACCAGTCCGATTGCTTTGATATGACATACCTAGGTACTACAGGTAGACCTCTCTCAGATTTGTTCATTTTGTGATGATATCTTCAATTCTCTAGTTTTGATGAATATTTTTGTCATTTTTGGTAAAAAGTGATATTTTCAACTTCTTATTAAAAAAAACAAGTCCGATTGCTTTGATATTATATATATAGGTACTACATGTGGACCACTCTCAGATTTGTTCATTTCGTGATGATATCTTAAATTCTCTAATTTTAATGATATTTTTTGTCATTTTTGATAAAAAGTGATATTTTAGACTTCTTGTTAAAAACTGCAATTTCGATTGCTTTCATGTTATACATGTAGGTACCTCAGATAGACATCTCTCAGATTTGTTCATTTTCTAATGATATTTTCAGTTCTTCAATTGAAACCTACATTGCTAACAGCGGAGCTATCTCAGCCGACTGGCTGCTTGTTCTTCACATTGTATATATATCATGTTACAATTCATTATTTCCAGTTTCGTCTGAAGAATTGTGGGCTTAGAAAACCTATCTATTTGGTGGAAGACTTCGGGTCTGGGCAGCATCTTAGTGTTCCAGAGACAACTTTACAACAAGCAGTTGTAAATACACAGGTAAGGTAATAGAATACGTTTTTAACTCTTTAATTTATTAGTCATACATTATATAATCCTCTACTCAATTAGAGGAACCAACAATAAAACTATGTCATTTAACACTTACATCCTCTCCTGTTCCATAAGCCAAACATGGCTACACAGAATGAGCCAACTTTGTGGTTAGAATATCAGGAAAATTACATTTGATCAAAACTTAATAGCCAAGTATATTCTATTGATACAATGTAACTAAAAATTGTAAAGTTAACAGGAAAGAAAAACAAAAAGGGTAAATTTTCACTACAAGGAAACAAAACTACACAAAAGTAAACATTGACCTGTCAAAATTTGTGTCATTATAATGAATACACGCATGCAGGCTGTCAGTAGACTCACACAGATGGAATGTTTATCTGAGCCGGCTACCAACGTCCTGGCCAGGGCAAATAGGGATTCCACCAATGCAGCCCACGACTCTGAATGGCGAGCTGGCATTTAGTGTAGTGGAAGGGAGATTGATCCTTGCCATCCCTCTGTTGGCCAGGTAGATGATTTTTTTCGTTCATTTATTTGACGAGTTGGGTTTATCCTATGCAGCATTCACCCACCATTGACAATTCTTTGGGGACAAGACTATAGCCAATTGTCCTATTATTAGAAGACTGTTTACTCGATCCTGAATGAAGGAACCGCCCAGTTGGGACTTGTTGGTTGTATTGTCTGCTCTAAGCAGACCACCCTTTGAGCCTTTGGGATCAGCACCACTGAATTATTTGACGTGGAAAACAGTCTTCTTACTAGCTCTAATTGCCTCTGGTAGGCGTCGTTCTGATCTAGGGCCTTGTCCTTGTTGGACGGTTAATTGTGCCATCTTTATGGACAATCAAGCTGTGCTAAAGACACAAATCAGGTTTCTTGTCAAAAACCAAATCCCAGGACACGATTGGCACAGCATAACTTTTCAAACATATAAAAAAGCGAAAAAGGTACTAGTATTGCTAACAACTAAAACTGTTTCAGATGTATATATATGATAGGCATATATACATTATTACATGTAACTGTATTGTAGTAGATAGATAGTCCAACTTGATAAGTTTATTTTAACATCTTTATTACATTTTATAAATAGATATGTAATTCATTCTATAAGGTTGTAATAAAGAATTATCTTATCTTATCTTATACATATATATTAATGGGATTATCTATACAAGAGATTATAACCAATGTTGCACAAAGGAAGTTGCACAAAGGAATATGTTCCTGTTTTCTAAGGTCTATGAAATAATAAACCAAAATATTTCAGAATATAATTTGTTCTTTCAACTTAGGTGATAGATGGGTTTTATGTGAAACGGACAGGTGAGCTGAAACAGTCTGTAGCATACCTGACTGTCATGACAAGATATTTACAGAGTGAATATGCAGTAAGTACAACTCAAGGACTTTCACAAATGTTTGTATACTCGGTATGGTAGCTCTGGACAATAATTATTATGCCACTACTTTCTTCTTTGTGTGCGACTCCACGTATAATTTGAACTCTGGGGCTCTGAAATCTGAACCAGCAATCACAGCAGTTATATTGAGGGGTATAAATACCATAATTGCTCTATTTGTAGGGCATGTCCGTTGTTACCTATAAACATATAGATGTAAATGTATTGTCAAAATAAGTCATATTTTTATGAGCGTACAATAAATAGAATTTTTGTTTTGTACACTTTTGATAGAGTAAATACAACACCTGGTATATTTGAGTTTTTTAAATATATTATATATATATTTTAATTATTAATTGTTTGATACTCCATACTGTAGATTTAACCAGGCTCTGTTTTATCATAAACTACAAATTTTGCATTTGCAATGCACACAACAGTATTCATGAGATAAAAAATCAAAACTATTGTCATGCATATGCAGTGATAGTTCTTTTACATACTCAAACAACCAGTGTATTAAAGAATTTCTTTGTTTCATTGAACGAATACTCGGATGTGTGCTACAAAAACAGTGATTCAATTCATGATAAATTGGAGTTTAATTTATTTAAGAATCCAGGGAATCACAAAATGTCATATTGCATCTTTTTTATGCATTCTATTTCTATAAATTAACATTGATATAATAACTCAAGTGAAGAGAACAAAGATGTAATGTTCTTTAAAAATTATGAAAAATAACATTGCTTTTTCACTATATCTAAAAAATACCATATACAAAGCACCGCCTGTGAAACCCCTGGGTAGGGATAACCTTTATTTTGATTTATTTACTGTATTTTTATTACTTTCTGATATTTAGTTATTATTTATTTTTAGTTGTATTACTTATATTTTATTTTATACTATTTTTACCTTACTTGTATCCACAGCAGATTACAGTTGCATAACAAACTATTATTATTTTAATGCTTCTATGTGAGGAATAACTAAAATGTTTGTCTTTTGTTTAGAGGAAAACACTGACAGCTTATAGCAAAGATTATCTAGACAGCTTGGACAGTAGACCTGATGTACATTGCAGTCAACAAA